TCGGGCCAAGCAATGTTCCCCTGAAGGAAAGGGAGGGTGAAGCAGCTGTCTGTCACGTGTGGCCTCTGGTCATTCACAACTGCCCCAGCCCCCAGGGACTGGGAGGGGGGAAAGACGTGACTTTTGTTTCTAAGAAGGGCTAGAGGGAACTTCAGGGAAAATCTGAGTGCTGGATCTGCTGTGTGTCCTCAGTGCCTGTGCAGGGCAGGGTCCGTGGGCAGGGGAAGTTCCTGCCAAAGGGCCCCCAAGATTGGAGCAGCGCTTCATAGGGACTCTGGGCTCATAGTGCCCATGCTGCTTCCCAAAAAGAATGCCAGTCAGCTTTCAGCCCAGTTTTTAAGGGAACTTGCTGGTCAAGAGAGGAGGTCCTTACATGGCCCCGTAATTAGTATGAAAACAGGAAGGACGCTGTAGGAGTCAGCAGTCAATTTTTGCTGTGAAAAGAGATCTCTGCATTGGTCCCGTGTTTTTTCAACATGCTCATGACCTGAAAAAGGGAATGAGCAATGAGATGTCAGGGCTTTGCTGAGGTGATTGGATTACTCAGGTTCACGGGGACAAGTGCCAGCTAGGAAAGAGTACTGACAACAATTACAACACCAGGCAGTAGGCAGATGAAATTCGTTAAAGATAAATATCAAGTGATAGACAAGGGAGGGAGTGAAAAGGCCCCAAATCCACAAACAAGATTATGCTGTGAGCTGGCCACTCGCAGCAAGGCCTGGAGCTATTTCAGATGGCTTGATGTGCATAAAAACACAAATGGAATCATCTTTGTGAGTGACAAAGCAGAAACAAAGCAGGAAAGCCTTGTGCCACTCTTCAAAGTGGGGTGTCACCACTGCACAGTCCCTGTGTGCCCCAGCACCAGCATCTCTGGAAGAGCTGAGGGGAGCTGGTGAAGGTTTGGAGGAAAGCAACAAGGAGGGCTGAAGGCGTGGAGCCATGCCTGAATGACTAAGTGAGCTAGAATTTCTATTTGGAAAATGTGCTGTTGGGTGGATACAATCCAGGTCTGTAAAGCCGCCACTCCAATGTTCATCCACCCTTTGATGTCGAGGGCGAGGGAGCCCTGGCTGAGGCCCTGCGTCCAAGGGGAGCTGCTGCCCCCTCTCAGAAGCTCCCAAGTTAAAGGGGGAAGTCGTATTTCACAGAAGCGAAACTTGCCATGGGCTACAATGCTTGTGAACAGTGTGTCCTTTCCCTCGGACGCTGGGGAACAGCTGGGGAGTTAGTCTAGGAGTGTGCCACTTCTGCCTTTTCCCGGCATCTGCTTTTTCCTCTGATGGAGACCAGCCAGATCAGCCTCTGTTTTTACCCAAGGTACCTGCCTGCCCTTATTGTGGGAGGGTTTGGGTTTGTCTCAGCACTGCAGTAATGGTGCACAACTCATACTTCTTGTGAAATACAAGCATGTGCCTCACAACTGGTGGCTGAAGGTGGAGGAGGGCAGGGCGCTGCCCAGGGGGCTGGTTCCCAGGACCCCTGGTACAAGGTAGGAGGATCCGTGAGCAGCGTGGTCAGAGTTCAGGCACGCACTTGAAATATCATGAAATGGGCGGTCTTGGAGTGTTTCCCATCCTCATGGGAGCAGCGTCATGGCCAGCAGAGCTTCATGTGACTTACATCCCTGTGCTGGGTTGTTCTGTGTCCGCAGGTAAACCTTGAGGGGCCTCCAGATCAACCTTCCTGCCAGGAGGACTCGGATGTGCCCAGCGGACAGGCGGATGTAGGGGATGGGGTGTAGGCTGGTGAGGCAACTGGCCCTGTCCCATCTTGGATGTACTTGAAGGAAGTACTGACCTTATGCCTGCAAAGTGATCCCCCTACAAGTGGTGTCAGGAGGACACGAGGTGTTTTACCATTGAGTCTGCTGGCAACCCCTTGGTTAGAGACAGCAAGGACACTGCTACACTTGGTGTTGTGTAAAGGGCTTTTCTTTAAGGAGCTGGTGTTTCTGGATATAAACCCATAGCGTGCCTACGTGGCACTGTGGAATTGCTCTGGAGTGGGAAGCCAAGCATGCACTATGCTTGCCCTCAGCGAAGGCAGCAGGAGCATGGGAAAAGGCGATGCGTGGAAAGGGAGGGATGCGGAAGTGTCTGGAGCCGGCTGACAAATGTCTCCCTGCAGGTGTGGCTGTCCTGCAGTGCGGGTTTTTCCGCGGAGGTTAAGCAGTTTTGGTGGCAGCTAGTGCTGCTGTCAGCTGCCAGGGCTTGGCTGGCAATGGGACTGCGCGTGGCCCAATACCGCAGCTGTCATTTAGCATCTGTCACAGCCTTTGTGTGGCATGAATCGGCAGTTAAAATTGTGCCATCTCTTGTTTGTACCTGCTCAGAGGTGCTAGCCTGCGATTTGTTAAACCCACTCCTTCTGATCTTGCTCCTTCCGCTTACACATCACTTTTGTGGGGATAAGACAGACTGCTCTGTGCCCAGGATCAAAAGGGATGTCCTTATGCCAAGGCCCCACATCACTCCTCCTTTTCCCTGTCCCTTAGGATGTGCAGCCACCAAGCTGGTGGCTCAGCTAAACTCCGTCAGGCTCCTCTGGGAGGTGGTTAGAGCTGTGCTGCGCCAGCTGGAGGGCTGGCATCTATTCCCACGTCCCATAGGGTAGGGCTGCTCTCCCCCCCGTGGGAGCAGGGCTGCCTGCCACCTGTTGCTGGTGTTGGTTCATGTGACCTTTTCTGTTTTAGGGTTGTTTGTAACAGCCAGCGGCTGTAAGTGTTTCCTGCTGTAATGACTGCTGACCCGTGCACCCTTTGGCAGGCACTGTCTCTTTGTGGAAAAAATTAGGAGGCACTTAGCGAAGTGAGATAGAAAACAAACATCGCAGGCAGGAGACTGCGGCTGGGCAGTGCCTGCCAAGGACGCTGGGCTCCTGATGGGGGGATGTGGGCACTCTCCAGGCGGAAGCAGGAGGCGGTGGGAAAGCAGCATGCCAGAATACCCTGCCCCAGCACCCCCCGGAGTCCTACTCCCGATCCCCCCCACACCTCCTCAATGCCCCCAGCTCCTGCCATCTCCTGCATGGCACTCTTCCCTTCCTCCCTTCCCTGGACGTCTGGGCAGTGTGTAGTACCACACACTTGGGCTGTGTGCCAGCTGTGGTACCTGATACCTCTTCTCCTCTTCCATGGATGCCACTAGACCCCCAGGGCTCCAGCCCGCGTGACTTGAGCCAGGGCCTGACACTCACTTCTAAGAGCAGGGGGTGTGGAAGCAGGGGAAGCACTGCCTTCAAATACTCTGAACACGGGGCTTGCCCTGGCTCTGTCCTCTCTCCCCAGGTATGTCTGTGGGGTCAGTCTCTGCCCCTGTTTCCTGGGGCACCGATGTGACCGGGTGGGGGCTGGAAGAGGGGCCAGGGGCTTGTACAGGGAAGGGGCAGCATGTTGAGGGCTTGCTAGGGACCAGCTGGGGGAGCTGGGGTTCTCCTGCCTCTTTTGGGTTGAGATGTTTGCCTGGAGATAAGCAGTGACCCTGGTGGGGTTTCTGTGTGCGACGTGGTGACAGTTGTGCTTGCAGATTCCCCTGCTAATCCCGGGCTGGGGCTTGGGGTGTCTCTTCCCCAGAGGCACTGGCAGGCTGCCGCGAAGGGATTTTGGGATGTTTTCTCTGGAAGCCCGGATGGCTTGCAAGGGCAAGGCAGGAACTGTCATGCTCTCAAGCTGTCTGCGTGGGAAGGGAGGGGAGCGGTGCTGCAGATGGCTCCGACATCAACAGGGTGGTTGGCACCTCTCGGGTTGGCAGGGCTCTCAATCCTGTGCAGGCACACTGTCGTCCTGCTCTGGCTTTCCCAAGCAGCCAAGGGGCTTCCCAACTGCCTCTCCACATCCTGCCGGCTATGTTTTGGCTCCGGCATAACTCAGGCTCCGCAGCCTGCGGGACCCCGCCGCGGGAGGAGGCGATCTGTATGCAGAACCACCCGGGAACCTGTGCCAGGGGACGGGCTGCGCTGCCTTCAGTGCGGGCAGGGGCTGGCACGAACTACAGATCCCAGCATGCCGCTGGCTGCCTGCCTCCTCCTCCGCCCCACCTGGCAGGGCGCAGGCAGGGATGCTGCGGGCGGCGGCAGAGCGGGCATCCGGCGGGCATGTCCCGGGAGGGCCGGGGACGCAGCACCTGCAGCCCCACTGCAGGTGAAGCCCTGGGAGAAGTGCTGGAGCACCCCATGCGGCGCCGCCCGGACTGGAAAAGGACAAGGCAGGCCTGCGGCTTCTCCAGGGCGCTTAATCCCGCTTTGCCCTGGGAACCGGGGGGGAACTGGGGAGGGAAGGACCCTTCTCCAGGCTCTGGAGACTGCATCTCTGGGGTTGTCTGCCGGGAGAGTGATGTCTGAGCAGTGCAGGGGCTCGGCAGGTGGTGATGGGAAAAAGGAGCGGTGGGTGCCCGGGAGGGGACAGCAGTGCCAGGAACGCCCTGGGCTTTTCAAGGTGACCCAGGAAAGGAAAGGGCTTCGAGAGCCCCAGGGAAGCGGAATTGAATGGAAATGGGGGATTTGCGTGGTGGTTCTGGCCGGAGAGGCTGCTGAATTAAATGTGTCTTTTGTGCTGCCAAGCCCCAGGCATTGGAGGGAGGTGGGGAGGGCAGGGCAGGGGGGGCAGACACAGCCCACAGCGCACATGTTTCACTCACAGCCCCAGGATTGGGGACGTAGAGCTGCAGGCTCACAAATCCCTTAAGAGCCTGCTGTGAGCAGCTGGGCAGCCGGCATGAACAGCCTGGGCACCTCAGGAAAGCAGTTTCCTTTCAGAGGGAAGAGCTTGATGTGCCCCACCAGAAGAATAAGGCTATGTATCACAGCCTCTCAGCTGAAGGACTCTGAGCCACAGGTTTCCAAAACTCCTGTGATGTGCTCTCATCATTTCCTGGGCTGGTGTTTGGCTCCCAGTACTGTGGAGCACTTGGCCAGCAGGATGGATTGGGCTTAAAACCAGTACTGCCCCTGCCTGGCTTGTGTCCCTCAATCTCCCATAAAATCTGTTTGCTTTCTAGACGGAGAGCAGCGACAAGACTTGCTGGGACCTGTGCTGACTCTTGCCACACAAGATGACAACAAGGGATGGGCCCCAAGATAGGTAATGCTGGGTTCTGATGTAAGGTGTGGGGGCACATCCAGGATACCAGGAGTTGAGGGAGGACAAGGAGACCCAGCATCTGGGGGGACCACCACTCCTGCATGCTCACTGGGCTACCAAGCCATTCCTTCTCTCTCATGTTTTCTGTAGCAAATAGCCTGTAAACAGTCCCTTGTGCTGGGACACGCCTGGGGAGCCTGACTCCCTCACAGATCTGGTGATGTCTGCTGTGTATCCGGGTGCCACATGCTAAGGAGCAGCCAGCATCCCCCTGCCTTTGTACCCTACTATGAAGGGCCTCCCACAGCCCCTCTGCAGTGCCACATCTCCTCTGGCACTCCAGGCTAGCAGGGGCTGTGGGGCAGGGGAATACATATCGTCTTCCCTCCTCCTCCTGTTGCCTTCCACTGTGGGGCCAGGGACAGTCAGAAGCAATGTCTGTCCCCTACCCTGCCCAGCATCGCCCTCCAAACTGCGCTGTCCCCTCCACAGGTACAAGGCTGTCTGGCTGATCTTCTTCATCCTCGGCCTGGGAACACTGCTGCCATGGAATTTCTTTATGAACGCCAGGGAGGTGAGGGCTTCCCTCTGTTGTCCATGACACTAATTGTCCCCTGTCATGTTGAAGGACCATGGTGTTAGGTAGGTGTGTCAGCAAGGCACAGTGTAGAGCTTCTGTGTTGGAGCGCAGGGGATACCAGCATGTGTGACCTGCGTGGGACGAGTGGCACTGAGGCGGCAGGAGGGATAAGCGTGGGTCTGGAGGGAGGATAAGGGTGGTGTGTGTGTGCTGGGGTGGAGGCATCGCAGAACCTCAGCCTCAGCAGGCTCCTTCCCTTGCAGTACTTCATCAGCCGCCTTAAGGACCCGGAGGAGATGAGCCATGTCACGAACCAGACCTCCAAACCCTCCTACCTGGAGTCCATGTTTGACAACTTCATGACTCTCTGCGCCATGGTGCCCCTCCTCATCTTCACCTGCCTCAACTCCTTCATCCACCAGCGGTGAGCCTTGCCCTGTCCTTGCCCCTGCCAGCCCCCATAGGGCTGCCCAGCCCTGGCCTGTCCTCTTGCCCTAGCACTGAGCCAAGCTGCAGCCTGTTCAGTCAGGTCAAAGGCAAAGCATCCGTCTCCTGTCCTAGAGTTTGGCTGTGATTCCTACAGGAGAGCTCAGTCCCAGCCTCACAGGCTTTTGGAGGGGTGGGTTTTCCTGACTGAGACCCTCTTTTGCAGGATTCCCCAGCAGATTCGCATCTCAGGCAGCCTGGTGGCCATTGGGCTGGTGTTTTTAGTCACTGCAATCATGGTGAAGGTCCCCATGGACCCTCTTCCCTTCTTTGTCTTTACTATGATCAGCATCATCTTCATCAACTGTGAGTGAAGCAGGGGGGGAAGGAAGGGAGCACAGCCCCATGGCTGCGGTTGATGTTGATCTCTCTGGGAGGAAAGCATGAACCTCAGTGTGGGAGAGCCAAGGAGGAGGGGGGCTTGCCTTGCCTCGCCTCGCAGAGTAGGGGCCTTGGCTCCCCAGAGAGACGTGTTCCACCCTTGCCATTGGTTTCTCATTTCTGCTCATCGTTTCCCTTCACAGCCTTCGGCGCTATTCTCCAGGGCAGCCTCTTTGGGCTGGCAGGGCTCCTGCCTGCCAGCTACACAGCCCCCATCATGAGCGGGCAGGGCTTAGCGGGCACCTTTGCTGCTTTGGCGATGATCTTCAGTATTGCCAGTGAGTAATCCCTGCCCTGCAGGCGACAGGGCCTTCCCAGAGCACTGCTGTCACAGGATCTGCTGGGGTCACGCAGCAGGATTGCGTGGGAGATGACAGCAAGGCCTCGCTCCTCTCAGCCCTCATCATCTTTTTCCCTTTTTCTCCCATCTCTCTCTTCCCTTGCCTTCAGTTGGTGCCCAGCAACCCGAGAGCTTCATCGGTTACTTCACCACGGCCTGTGTGGCGATCGCGCTGGCAATCTTCTCCTACATCATTCTGCCTCGCTTGGTGAGACTGTTCTCCTGGTGGGAAAGGTGTGGGGACATGGGACCTTTGCTCATCCCAGCACAAGAACTGGGGCTCACTAGTACCCCACCCGTGGCTCCTACCAGCCTCTACCTCCTGTGTCAGGGCAAGCTCTCCTGTGTCCCGAGGGAGCACTCCAGGATACTTCCCACCTCAGACAGCTCAGTAAGAACATGAGTTTCTGGAATATCTGAGTCGGTGAGAGAGCAGGAAAGCATCACTATCAGGCATAAGTGGAAGCAATACTTGGCCCATATTGCCCGTATCTGCTGTTGCCACACAGCCCCTGGCAGCCTTGTTTCCACGTGCATGACTGAGTTTTCCATGCTGTCTCTCTCCAGGATTTCTTCCGATACTACTCCATGAAGGACAAGACAGAGTACCGTGTGTACAATGCAGAGCTGGAGACCAAGAGAGACCTGATTAAGAAAGGTGAGGGGCTGGGAGGAGGAAGAGAAAGGAAAAAGAGGAAGGGCTGAAAGAAAGAATGAGACAGAAGGACTGAACTAAATCTCATTCTGCTAATGAGAGTATGCACACTCATACTTGTGTCTCTCCCTGCAGATGAGAATGGGATGGAGCAGAATAACTCAAAGGTCATCCCCATCCACAACCCTGATGAGAAGCCCTCTGTTGTTGCTATTTTTAAGAAGGTCTGTGTGTTGCCAGAAAGCCTTGCCCTGCCCTTCTTTTCAGGATGGGCAAAGGTGTATGAGGGCATGGGGATGGGAGACCAGCCCTGCACTGGTCTCTTGCCCTGTGTTTGGTACCAGCATCTTTATTTTATCTGCATAGCTCTGGGTCATGGCTCTGTCTGTCTGCCTCGTCTTCACTGTGACCATCGGCGTCTTTCCTGCCATCACAGCTAAGGTGTCCACTGTCCTCGGAAAGGGAAACAGATGGGGTAAGTGTGCCAGGGAAGGGGGCGAGATAGGAGAAAGCTGGGAAAGAGCTAAATGGGAGAAAAGAAAGTGGGGCTTGAAGTAGCAGGTACTGGGGAGGTGGCCCTGGCTGGATGCCAGGTGCCCACCGAAGCCACTTCAGCACTCCCCTTCACAGCTGGACAGGTAGAGAAAATATGACTAAAGGCTGCTGGGTCAAGATAAGGACAGTGAGAGATCACTCACCAATTACTGTCAGAGAAAAAACAGACTCAGCTTGAGAAAAATTAATTTAATTTATTACCAATCAGATCAGAGCAGGATAATGAAATATAAAACCTAAATCTTAAAACACCTTCCACCCACCCCTCCCTTCTTCCTAGGCTTAACTATACTCACAGTTTCTTTGCCTCCTGCCCCTACAGCAGTGCAGGGAAACAGGGAATGAGGATTGTGGTCAGTTCATCACACATTTTCTCTGCCACTGCTTCCTCCTCAGGGGAAGGACACCTCCCAGTCTTCCCCTGCTGCAGCGTTGGGACCCTCCCATGGCAGACAGTCCTTCATGAACTCCATTGTGAGCCCTTTCCATGGGCCGCAGTTCTTCATGAACTGCTCCACCCTGGATTCTTTCCATGGCGTGCAATCCTTCAGGAACAGACTGCTCCAGTGTGGGTCTCCTGCAGGGCCACAAGTCCTGCCAGCAAATCTGCTTCAGCAAGGGTCTTCCACAGGCTGTAGGTGGATATCTGCTCCACTATGGACCTCCACAGACTGCAGGGGGACAGCCTGCCTCACCATGGTCTTCACCAAGGGCTCCACAGAAATTTGTGCTCTGATGTCTGGAGAACCTTCTCCCCCTCCTTTTCCACTGGCCTTGGTGTCTGCAGAGCTGTTTCGCTCTCATATTCTCACTTCTCTCTCCAACTGCAATTGCACATGTTGGGGTTTTTTTCCCCCTTCTTAAGTATGTTACCCCACCGGCACTAACACTGTTACTGATGGGCTTGGCCTTGGCCAGTGGTGAGTCCATCTTGGAGCCGGCTGGCATTGGCTGTGTGAGACATGGGAGAAGCTTCTGGAAGCTTCTCACAGAGGTTGCCCTTGTAGCTCCCCTGCTACCAAAACCTTGCCACACAAACCCAGTAGAGTAAGCGTGAAGGGAAGAGGAAACCACTGTGCATGATGGTTTGGATGCGGACGCCAGCCTAGCTGGGAGACTATTGCAGGCTTTAGTGGGAAACCAGGAGAACCTAGACCTGAAAGACAGTCTCTGTGCAATTGGCATGAGGGGCTGGGGCATGCTGGGCTCATCACTGACCTTCTCCCCTTTCTGCAGATCTCTACTTCATTCCTGTCTCCTGCTTCCTTCTCTTTAATGTCTTTGACTGGATGGGACGGAGTCTCACTGCCCTCTTCTCGTGGGTAAGTGTGGGACAGGGAGCAAATGTCCAGGCAGTCTCCATCCCCAGGTCCCTCAGCCATGGCTCTCTCTCACTGGGGCTGCCACCCGTGGCTTGGAGCAGGAAGGAGGTGCAGAGCTGACTCCCGCTTTATGTCCTAAGCAGAGATTTATGGGTCAGAGCTGAGAACCACAGTGTTCTTCTGTCCTCCCACCTCTCTTTCAGCATGGCTTGGATGAAGCTGCCTCCTCCATTTCAGCCTCTTTGTAAACAAACCTTCACTCCAGCTATGCAAACAGTGAGACAGGACGGCGACGGGGAAGAGGGTGAAAGACGGGGCAGCCCAAAATAAAACCTCTGGCCTCAGCATAGGACGCAGCTGCTTCAAAGACCCTTGTCCTGGGAGCAGGGCAGAGCCATGCCATATGGGTCACGGAGCTGTCCCCAGCCACATCCCCTTGCTTTCATCTCCCCAGGCTGGGCAAGGAAGGGGGCTGTCCTGTCTGGGTCTTTTCCTGCCCCTTCACCCACTCTCCAAGCACCATTTCCCCGTTATTGTTCAGGCTGTTTGTTTAGAGAAGGTCTTCAGGACGATGTGCCATGGGGTCTGCCCGGGCCTGACTTCCCTGCAGCCTGGAGCTGCTTCTCCCCTGGCCATCACTGCTGGCTGCCCTTGGCCTTGGCCATAAGCCGCCTTGCCTGGAGTCCAGGCCGCAGCCTCCGTGGTGGGATGACCCAGCAGGAGATGTTTCCAAAACAAGTGTGTGGAAAGTCTGACTGCATGTGGTTTGGGCCTCATTTCCCTGGCTGGGGCCCCGCTCGCTCCTTTTTTCCTCCTCAAACAGGAGAGGCAGTTGCTGTCACCAGTTTGCCCCACAGGCATGGCAGCTGGCCTAACCTCAGCTTCCTCCTGTGCTCAGGAAGTGTCCTGTGGCCACGCCAGCCCAGCAGCTCCCAAAGCAGCTGGGGGTCTCTCCTGACCTCAGACCGGTGAGCCCTGTGATCTGCGACCCTGGCACCTCACTGAGGGGACCCCAGACAGGACCAGGCATGTCTCATGCCAGGGGCTGCCTTGGTCCCAGCTGCAGGGACAACCTAACAGGATGTCTCCTTGTTTGTCCCAGTCTCAGTTGTCCAGGAACTCTGGTAGGATCCAAGGAGACTGTAACTTGGTCCATGACTTTCCCACTACATTCCTAAACAGCCCCAGCATAATCCCTTTCCCAGATTGCTGGATCTTGCCCCACTTGGCTGGGGTATGGCGTAGGAGGCCGAAGAGCTGGTTAAAGCCCAGTTTGCAGGCGCTGAGGTGCCAGAAGGGATTTACCTCAGCCAGCCTCGTCCTGCACGGTGGTTCACTGCATGAGCGTGCACAAGGCTCTCCTGCCTGTGTGCCCATTGCCAGCAAGGGCTTAGCAATAACCCACAGACCCAGCTCAGTATTTTAGCTCTGGTGCTGCTGCTCTCCAAGTAGTCTGGGACAGGGCTTTCAGACCTAGCAGGACCTCCTTACCACAGCAGGTGGTAATGCTGAGACTTCTTGTAGCAGAGAAAGTCTCTCAGGAACTTTCCCCTCTCAGTGGCTCCTTTGCAGCCCTGGCACAGTAGGGACAGCCTCTGTATATCCCCTGCCGGCATGCCATGCATGGTATGGGGAATACCCACTCCTCAGCTGCCTGTGTTTTTCTCCCAGCCCGGGAAGGACAGCTGCCTCCTGCCAGTGATGGTGATCCTCCGTGTCATCTTCATCCCTCTCTTCATGCTGTGCAACGTGCAGCCCCGTTACTACCTGCCTGTGGTGTTCTCCCATGACGCCTGGTACATCATCTTCATGATCTTCTTCTCCATCTCCAATGGCTACCTGGCCAGCCTCTGCATGTGCTTCGGGCCCAAGTGAGTAGGAGCTGGGGACGAGGGAAGGGTTGGTTACACCCCCGGATGACAGTCCTGGCCTGACTCCTGGAGTCTAGCTCTGCCCAGCTCGGTGTCTGGAGAAGGGGCCACAGGTACAGAAGAGAGTTGGCACTACCTCCAGTGTCCCATCTCCTAGGCTTGTGCCTCTGCATCCTAGGGATGAGGAAGCTGTTTGGGCTCTCCATTTTCCTCGCTTGCCACGCAGGGGAAGGGAACAGATGCAGCAGGGATCTGGAGGGGGAGCTAAGTGTGGTACAGCACCCACAGCCTTGCCCAGCACAGGTGGCATGAGGAGCCCAGCTGGGGCTCAGCCAGGCAGGATACAGTGCACAGGGGCAGGAGTCAGAGAGGGATATCCCTGGTGCTGGGAGCTTTGGGGTTACCTGCCTGATGCACTTTTTCTGTATGAGTCTGCAGTCCGGAGACAGGCTCCTGGAGCCAAGGTGAATTTGCTTTTGCTGTTCCTCTACTGCAGAGGAGCCTCCCATCTCCACTGAACAGCAGGGCATGGGGCAAGCATCCTGAGGATGGATCTGACACCTGTTTCTCCCCTAGGAAAGTGCTTGTGCATGAAGCAGAGACAGCTGGAGCCGTCATGGCCTTTTTCCTGTCGCTGGGATTGGCCCTAGGAGCTGCGGTCTCCTTTCTGTTCCGAATTCTCATCTAGCAGAGGCACACAGAGGGTGCAGGGACACCGAGAGATGGCTCCGCATCCTCCTCTGAGGCCCTGGACACCTCAGCACTGTGGGAAAATAACACCTCATGCCTGTCCCTGCCAAATCACACTGCCACAGCAGACGTTACACCAGTGATGGTTCCACTCCTGCAGGGTTGGCCTGGCTCCTGCCATGCTCGGCTGTGTGACGCCTTCAGGCCTACGTGCCTTCTCCTTCCCCATGCTGTGTGTGTTGTAAGACCCCCAGGATCTCACAGAGGTCCAGCTGCCTCCCACACTGCGTAACCTCCCCGGCTCAAGGCCAAAAGCCATTTTCAGCCTCTTCCTCTCTGACAGAGTGGAAGGCTGGTATCCAGTGTTATTCCCTCTTGTGCCCCTCTCCCCAAGGCACCTAGGGACTTGCTCTCCTCTCCTCTCTTCCAGCGGTCCTGGAAATATCCCACATCCCTTCTCCTCCTGGTAAGACTTGCGCATAGGGAGGAGAGCCCCAGCCAGCCTCACAATCCCTGCTCTCGGCTAGACGCACATGCCCCTGTGCAATGGTATCCCAGGGGCACAGACATCTGTGT